GGATAACTGCATGTACACATGCAATATAAGTAAATACAACCATTCTAGTATTGTACTCATCAGTTTGCGAAGCAACGAAAAAGGTCAGTATTTTGTGATCAGCTGACAAACCCATTACTGATTGATATTAACGCCGTCGAAGACATGAGTCGTGAAAACATCAACAAAACACATCAAGTTGTATTTTAATTGTTTTTTATTTTTTGGCATATTTTTATGCCATATTTTATTCCTGGCCCACGGGCATTGATGTAGTTGTACCTAAGATTTTATATTTGTGCAGAATTCTCTCCTGCATTCGTTTGTGTGATGTCACTAACACTTTACATTTTGTATGATTATGTGTACAAGCCCAGCCTAAACAGTGTTGTTATTTCATTAGAGGCGCGTTCTGAGGATCTGCCCACACTGCTCCACTTCGCGGCTCAGAACGGCCTGCTAGGCCTGGCCAGCGTTCTCCTGCAGTGTCCAGGCGCAGGGCGCACCCTCAGCCTTGCTAACTGTCACGGGGACACGCCCCTGAAGCTTGCCGAGAGGCACAGCCACACCCAGCTCCAGGTCCTGCTGAAGGATGCTCTGGTAAGGATCCATCCTTTTTCCTGTCCTCTTTTTTTTGGGCTGTCCCACCATGTAATGAGGAGAACACTCACTGTCTGAATTTTGTGGCTAATCTGCATTTTCTTTGTAATTTAAACAATCGTGAAGCATGGCATCGAAATTACTAAGAAAACATTCATGTTTTCAGAGTTCACGTGATGTTAATCTAAATAAATGACTGAAGTTTAAAGGTAAGTTTTCGTCCTCCATAATTTTCGGCTAACCAGCTGCCACTGACTTCCCCTGATGCTGCTTTCTGTTTGCTAACCCTGTTTTCCGGCACGTTTGTGACGTCTAATGTGGCGCACCAGGGGGGAAAAAAGAGAGAGGAAAAAAGAAGGCAGTGGCTATTCTTACGGCAGCCGTAAAGATACTCCGTTAGGCTATTCTTGATTTTGATCAAGCCGCCTGCAAATTTTTTTTTCTTCTACCCATTATATCAATTAGGCCCGATTTGGTGCCTCTGATTGGTTGCTTGCTAGGCTTTTTGGCTAGCTAGCCAGCTACCTAGCTAATGTTAGTTCGCTTGCTTAGCTACCAAGTTCGCTAGCCTAGCTAGCCAACAGTTTGGTGCACGGATGTCAATAGAAAATAAATGAATAAAAATTATCCATTATTTTGCTATCTCAATTAGCTAGAGTTGAACCGCGATCATTTATGTTATACCAAATTTAACTGCTCGCAAGCTAGCTCGCTAATGTTAGTTTGCTTGCTTAGCTAGCTAGTTCGCTAGCCTAGCTAGCTTACAGTTATATTTAGTATAACGTAAATACTCGCGGTTCAACTCTAGCTAAGTGAGATGGCGAAATAATGGATAATTTTTATTCATTTATTTTCGATGAATTCTGTCGCTTAAACTGTCGGCTAGCTAGGCTAGCGAACTAGCAAGCTAAGCAAGCGAATTAAGGCTTATATTTTATATTATACAAGGTTATATTTTTGCACAAAGTCCTGAATTTGGTGCTTTGCGCACGTGCAAATGGAAGGACGTAAGAATAGCCAAATGTAGTATCTTTACGGCTGCCGCAAGAATAGTCACTGCCAAAAAAAAAAAAAACAAAGGCCAAGTCTTCTACTGGCAATGTGAAAGGGGTTAATTGCATTTGTTTAGCTGGTCTGCCTGCATTTAACCCTTTGAGCGCTGAATACATTTTCAAGGAATTAAAAATGTAGTTATCCTGAGCTGCTGAAAACCTATCATGTGGCAACTTGTTTAAAAGAGCTCCCCGGGAGCTCTTTTAAACAAGTTGCCACATAATAGGCTTTCAACAGCGTCTGATTTTGATATCATACAACATTGGGCACCTATAGTTGCCCACAGTGCTTAAAGGGTTAAAAACACTATATATGAGCTAGTTTTGGTGCAAAAACAGCATAAACTCAGTGGTGTTGGCTGTTCATCCCAGCATCCTGTTGATGCCTTCTTTTAACGGCTTCAGCACAGTAGCTAGAACCTGAAAGGCTTTGGTCAACGATCACGTCGTAGAATGAGTCCTTACTCTGGGCTATGCTAGCATGTGGATTTTACAGGTGGGCGGGAAGGTTTCGCTTTTATAATTTGGGTCCCAATATTAAACCCTTAGAGCGCTAAATGCAGCTATTGTTGCTCAATAATGTAAGATATCAAAATCCAAGCTGCTGAAAGTTGCAGGTGAGTCGCCACATGACAGGCTTTCATCAGCACAAGATAATTTAATTTATGTTTTTAAAAAATTTATTTCAGCACTCTAGGGGTAAAAAAGTATTAAAAAAAATTTTAAAAGAAACACTGCTCAAATCCATTTACACCTTCAAATTCTTTATTCTTGATCATCGTATTTAACCCGCAACAGCTCTACGATGAATGCTCTATTTTGACCTTTTAATTGCTGTTCTCCAGGGCCTTTATCGAAACACATTTGTGTGCTCTCATTCTGGACAGCGGTATTTGCTGAATTGTCTATAAATTGTATATATCTGAGGGAACTCCTCTGTAGGCCCTTATTTCGAAGCTTGCCTCAGTCAATCGCATTGCATTTGTACTGCTGGAGAGGATGGTCCACACAAGCTGATGTCATCAGCCCAGCAGCTGCTTCAGTCCTGCAGGAGAGGGTAATTATCCCCAGCGAGGGTATGTGTCAAATCCCAGAGCTCTGGCACTAAATGCCACTGCAGTCCACTGAGGCCATTAGGGCGAATTAGAGGACCTTTCATTTATATCTATTTGACTGCTCTTTGCTGGAAATTTATGAATGTAGACTTAAAGAATGAGCAAAGGAATGGAACATTGATGATACGGTGAGCTGAAATCGAAATGAACTTTTTGGTCAGTTTAGAATACCCATGTGAGACCATCGTCAGTTAAAGCTCCAAATACTGTTTCAGAGGCCAGGCAGGGCCAACTGCCTATTGGCTGAGAGACAGTATGGCACCCCAAGATATAGATTGCATTACAACCATAAATCAGAAAAAAAGTTGATGGTGTGTTAAATTGAAATTAAAACTGAAAGCGGTGATTTGTAAATAACCTTTGACCTGTATTATGTTGAAATCAATATTATACAGAACAACACTTTACCACTTGAACAGAGGCTGCAACTCTGCCTGACTTTTGTGAGTCACCACGCACTCAGCACTAATGCAGGAGAAAGACAGGAAGTGAGGGATGGGAAGGGGGAAAGAAAGACTGATATAGTGGCTACTGCTGTTGAGATGTACCAGAAGCAAATGAGCGAGCCCAGTCTCATCCCGAAGCGTCGTATAGTGACGCCACCTGACCAAGTGTTGATATACGACACAAAAGGAAGCTTTTGGTGTCCTTATTTGACGCCAGTTGAAAACAAATCCTACCCCCTGACCTCTAACCCTTAACCTGAACCCCGGCCCTAAGCATCAAATAAAGACGCCAAAAGCCTCCTTTTGCGTCGTATATCGACGCTTGATCAGGCAGCGTCACTTCATGACGAGTCGGGATGAGAATGTGTTGAAGGAGCTAATAACTCCACGTGATGCTTGAACATACAGTAGGGCAGTAGCATGCTGAGGGGAAAGGGGTTGAGTTAGGTAGCCTATCTTTTGGTAATTAGCCTGTTCCAAAAAGTAGACAGCAATGCCCTTCCTGGTGGTCCAAGCACTGATGCAGATGTGTGCCGTTCATCAAATGAACACAGTTCAGGGGACTGACCTGGGTTCCCTTATGAAGATATCCTATAGTTATTTCTTAGTAATACAATAGTATAATGGCATAACTATAGTATCACTATAGTTTGTATAGTATAACTAGAGTAGTACTATAGCCGTCTCATTATAACTATAATATTACCACAACAGTCAACTGTACCATGATATTACAATAGTCCACACTGCTGTATTGCTGTAGTTTGAATAACTATAGTATCACTACAGTAACACTACACTATGGTGGCAAAAATACCATCCATTTACTATAGGATAACTAGCTTGGAACTATAATAATTTTTCAGAAGGTTTCACTCATCCGAGGAGATGAGGACTGTTTGTGTAACCGTGTGTGTGTGTGTGTGTTCGGGGTTGGGGCATCAGTGAGGGTGTGTTCAACCGAAACTCTCCATATAGGAGAGGACGGGGCTGATTTAGGTGAGGGACCAGTGGGTGACTGTGAACAATTATGTGTATGTGATGTCCCGGATGTGGTGATCGGTTCAAAAACATTTTCTAAATAGTTTTAACAGTTAGCATCTTTTTTTTTCTGATGCTGCAATAAAATTGGACCACAGCACTAGATCATTTTCCCTGGATCTGTTTGCCTCTGTTTTGCTCCACAATAACTAATAACTATCTCTGGAAAACTTAGCTCTCGCTGCTCTTGATGCTTGAACCAAGCTGTCTGCTTGCAAGTAACTTGGAAGCTTTTAGTTGGCTCAAAGTATTTCGTTTATGGATGGTTGTTCTCCCCTTGCTTTTCTGAATTTAATGCTGGCTGTAGGTAATTTATTTCGCTGCTGGCTAGCGTGGTTTCATTTCCATCTGACTGTGTGCGGGATAACTTAGTGATGGAATTAAAAATTTCTCATGTAAATAGTGGAAAGCTGGGCCAGTGAAGATTATTTGTTGCTTATAGTTGGCCGTTCTAACTTTGCTTGGATATACACATGAGCAGTGAAATCTCTGGCCTGGTGATTTTTGCTCCTTTGTGGGCTCCGTATGTTCTCCTTTACATGGGTTACGCTTATTTTTTTTTAACCTCACCATCAGCATTTAAACTGTTTAACTCCTCTACCGTCTGTCACGGGGAACACAACACAATCAATACGAGTCAATCTTTACTGGCTTTTAATGATGTCAGTGCAGGGGTAAACAGACTGCAGATTAGGGTCACTTGGTGCAGATCAGGATCAGGAACTTGTGGATCCCGAGTGGAGCTCTCCCGGGAACTCGAGGGAGCAGGCGCGGATGACGGGATTCGAACCCCGGTCGCCCACACGGCGGGCGGGAGAGTTACCACTGGGCCATCGGCGCAGGCTGGCTTGAGGAGCGGCAGACGGGGTCGTGTCCACGCAGGCAGGCAATGGAGCGGCAAGACGGGTAGCTTGGACAGGGGCTTGGAAGACGGCAGACGGGAACTAGGAAGCACACAGGCAGAACTCAGAGTCAGAGGCAGACGGCTATCAGGTTTACCGGGGCAGGAACGAGAGGATGTAGTCAGAGGCAGGTAGAGTCAATTCCAGGAAGTCAGACCGAAGACAAAGGCTGGAGAGTAGTGCATGCTGCAACGACAATCTGGCAAATGAGTAGTGAAACAGAGCTGCTTATATACTGGCTGGGTAATGAGACTCAGCTGAGAACAACTGCAGTGCAAGGGGTGTGGCCAGGCAGAGGTAGAGACAGCAGCAGCAGAGCAGACTGTGACACTGTCGAGAGTTTAAAAGCATTGCACTGCTCTTGGAATCACCCACCATCCTCGCTATGTACACCACGGCCCTTGGTTGCTTGTTGGCACGACTATTGATGGTCATATCCCGGGTATTCAGTCTGTGTCATCCTGTTGATTCCCAGCCAGACAATGTGTCCAAGCCGATGTTGCGAATCGTCAAAATATTTGGTTGCTGGAACACTGGCTCTCTACATCCATCTCAGCTAAGTTGACTTTGATAAATGCGCAAGAGTTCGAGCAAGACTTTTTATTTCTTTTGGATTACTTTATGGATTAGACTGTCAATTTGTGGCGGAAACCTGGCTTCTTGCTGGTAACTCTAGTCCCCCCTGCTCTCCTCTGATGACTTCAGCTTTTTTATTTTTTATTTATTTATTTTTCTAACTCTCCATTGACCCCTGGAAGAGCTGGAGGCAAAGCTGCAGTCCTTAAAAACCAGTATAAATGCAGGCAGTTGACATTTGATCAGTCATATCATTCTGAAGTTTAGTTATTCACGTTCTAGTTGAAGCTGAATTGACTCACCCTCTATTGTGCGCTTTGGAAAATAGACCAAAAAAATTAAATTAGATCATTATTCAATTATTATCGGCTCGCCTACAATGTGCTTCGATGTCATAAGCCCTTTAACACTGAGGATTCTAACATTCATATCTGTTGTATGTAGACTTTGGTTGAAGAATATTTTAGTCTTGTTGCCTTTTTTAATTAAATGCAGTTACTGGCTGAACAGTTTCACCCACTCACTCCTGTAGGAGTGCAGGAGAGCTCAGCGTAAGTTGAATAAAATTACATATTTCATGTTTCTCATCAAATTCTGAGAAACTGCCTCACGTAGTACCAGCACTTTGTTATATTTGCCTGCGAAAATTAAACATTTCTCTCGTGAACTCCTGAAGGCTTTTTTTTTTTTTTTTACTTTTCAGGTCTGTAAATGTGCTTGTCAGTCCCTTATCTACTGTTCTTGTTCACATGACTATCACCGCTTGTGAGCAAGTTTTTAATTGACAAGATTGATGAAATGAGATCTCAAATCTCTCTGCCTACAAAACCATCAGTGTTAGCTGTCCCATCAAGCTCTCTTATCCAGTTTGAGCCTGTCTCCCTTTCCCAGCTCAGTGGGAACATTTCAAATATGAAGCTCGCAATCCCCCCCCCCCCCCTCATTCTCATTGTCTCTTGGTTCTTAATCCAATGTTGTGCTAACTTTACGGGGCCTTAGTATGTCCTGTTACTCTTTTGATCACAATATTCTCCTTGATCATCTTAAATGTGGTGCTGGGATTTGGCGCTCTGCCCTAAACTGGTCTGATTCATATCTAAAGTGCAGGTCTTCAGTCCGGATAGGGAGTCTGTCCTTGTGATTGGTATTTGTGATCTGTGGTGTTCTGCATGATCCATTTTTGGCACCTTCCTGTTTTCCCTTTATATATCCCCCCAGCTCAATTTTTTATAACTATAGTTTATCACAGCTTCAGTAATAATACTTGGCAGAACCTTTCATTAAAACATGACAATACCTGTTGCTTGAGAAACTTCTTCAACTGTTTAAATGATGTCCAAAAATTGAGTGGATAATCTTTCTCCAACTAAATGAGAAAAAAAAAAAAACATGTCATTATTTTTGGCTCTCCTGGTTCTTCCACAGTAAGGTCATTAACTCATTCCCCACAGCAAGCCACTGCCAACGGCACGGCAAATTCTACCATTCCCTATGGTAAGCCGGTGCCAGCGGCGTGGATGACCATTCGCAGTTAGATGAAAACACGAAATCAGTTGACGATCGCGATCATGGGCCACCTGTACTTCAATAATTTATATTGTGTAATTTTCAGGAAAAGTATTCCGTACAAATAAGACAATTGTATAGAAAAGTATTCCATAGGGAATGAGTTAATAAACAGCGAGGCCCTCTCTCCAAAATTGCATATTCTCTGGATAGAAAATTTGACGTCCTCTTTAACTCCTCACTCAATTTTGAGAGACAAATAAATGCAGTTGTTAAGGGCAGCTTTTTTCAACCCTTATATATTTCCTGTCTCTCTCCTAAAGATCTTAAGGCCGCTATCTATGCGTCGATATCATATTGTGTGGATTGCTGTAACGCTCTTTACTACGGTCTTCCATAAGCTTCCCTTCACTGGTTCCCGACTTGTTCTCAAAATAGAGACCATATTTCCCCTGTGTTGGCAGCCTACACTTGCTGTTCATCGGAGTCCAAACCGATATTAAAATTTAATTTTAAAATCTCTTTTTTAGGCGCTGTATGAATCGGCACCATGATACATTTCAGACTTCCTCCTCCTAGCTTCCCTGCATGGTCCCTCAGATCATCAAATAAGATGCCCCTGCCAGCTCCTCGGTCACACCTAAGAGCTGTGCCTTTTCCGTTACTGCCCCTGAACTGTCAGATACTTGAAAGCACCGTCCATTGCCAACTTTAAATTGTGTTTAAAAACTAATTCTTGGTCCCTCGCTTTGGAATCCTTTGTTTTTTTCGTGTTCACTCCAAGTTTATTTTACTGTCTCTTGTTCTGATTTTATTGTTCTTTCTTTACTTTGGTCTGTTGTTTTAATTTGCCTGCCTTTTTTAGTCCGTATTGATATTTTCCTTTCCATTTATTTCTTTGTTTTATTGATACACAGATGCATGATTATATATTCTCTCCCTTTCTTTGGTTTAACTGACTTTCATTGTGGACTACTTTGACTCAACGCATTGTGCCTAAATAAACTTTATAAATAAACTTGGCTTAACTGTTTGGCCGGAATTGCTTGGATGTCGCTCTCATTGGTTGGTTGTGTGCATTACCTGGCCTGCATATCATTACTTGATTGTGCAGCGGTGATGGTGGTACCATCATACATGCAGATGAAATGTATAAACTCATCCTAATGAACTTATGACCCCATTTTGTCAAACTGCCACCATTTTGCGCTGCTATTTTTGGCACACCTCTTTCTTGTCCCCCCCAGAATATCATTATAAACAGCCCTTGAATTCTGATGGACAGAACAGTGAGACGGTCTCTCCTGTTCAAAGGGGATGTGTAAGGAAAAGTGTCTCTGTTCTCCACAGTACGGTCTGAAGCGATTCCCACAGGAATGCATCTGCCTGTCCTTTAAAGTCGCCCTTGCACTCTTATGTTCTGAAAAAAAATGTAGGCGCTACAGAAATGCTCCGCTTATTATTTTCCAAACTGAGGCAGGGGTGGTATTTGCACGACACTGTAAACCCTGATAGTGTGGTGAACTCAAATGTTTTGTGGAAACCGATTACCTCAAAAAAATTGAGTATGCCAACTTAATAATCTTGTGTTCACAGCACTTAAAACATGTAAAAAAAAAAAACTTTACCTTATTTTCTTTAAGTTCCTTCCACACAATGCAATTAAGTTGGCCTACACAATTTTTTTGAGGTTATCAGTTTCCACAAAACAGTTGAGTTCACCACACTATCAGGGTTTACCGTGCAGCTCATGTGTTATTTTGTAAATGATAATGTGTTATCATATACATTACAATGTGCAGTATAGGATATGTGATATTTATGCGTTGTAGTTTTTGTCTGCAACTTCCTGGAACTAAGAAAGGTATTCAAGGCCAGGTCGATGGTTCGTATAATTGCGTGAATGCGTGCGCACACGTTTGTGTATGTGTGTGAGAGTGAGCGCAAGCCAGACAGCGTCCCTGCTGGTCTGGTTTCATTACCAGTTCTTTCATTCCTATAGTCTAATTGGATCAGGCCCTGATTTATAGAGCATATCAGTTTCAGCTGTAGAGCTTGTCAATGCCCTGCCAGGCCACTGATAACAGTGGATTTTTGTTACAGAGCATGGTGTTGGGCTAATATGTCCTTTGAGCATCACTGAGAAGTGTTTAATTACCTTAGCTAGTTTCAGCTGATATCCCATTGGATATTTCGGTGACTTAGACTGGGTGTTTGTCCTACTGCTATCCTGTAAAGCATCTTTATGACAGTTCTTCTGTAAAAAGCGTTATACAAAAAATATTGAACTGAACTAATCCCACAGGAGAATAACAAGAACGGCCATTCTAGGGTCAAATGCAATTTTTGAGTTTGATTCAAGTGCATTTCCGTAATTCAAGGAGCTTGTTTGATGAACCAAGGAAATGCTTCAAAAAAAAAAAAAAAAAGGCACAAACTTTGCCATATAGTCTTCCTGGTCAGTGGTATCCAGTGAGACTTACAGATCATGAAAAAAAATTAATCAAAAATTATGTATGTTATCCAGGTTTATGCAAAGCAGTCAGGTCCATAACTGTACAGACAGTGGCACAATGGTCATCATTTTGGCTCAGAGCACCACCACAGTGGATTTGGAATTAATTAGTCAAGAGGTGCTAGAAGGGTTTAATTTCAGTTTAAATGGAAAAATTAACGCAATCATAAATTACATTTGAAGGGTTGAGAACCAGAGCGGTCTAACACAGAGAACATTATTTTTGACATAATAGATGTCAAAGTTCTTAAAATATAAAAAATTTTTAAAAATTACTCACAATGTTGTTCACAGGTATAATACACATCATGAGATTTTGCGTAATGAATCTGATCGTCATC